ACCGCGTCCACGATATAAGCAGGCTCGAGCGTCTGCATATAAGCGTCGTGGGTGGGCCACACGTGGCACTGCACCTTAAACACACTCGGAGAGAAGAGGTCGCTATATTCCGCCTCGCCCCACCCCTGCCACTGCGACCTGTGGATCGAATCGTCATCCTCCAGAAACGACAGCAGCCGCAGTGTCGTTTTCGTAGGTTCTGCCCGCCCGGGCCCCCCTTGGTTTTGCCCCTCTTGCTGCTGGTCCCCTTGCGGCTCCCCTTGTTGTCCCCCTTGCTGTCCCCCTTGCTGCCCCCCGCCCTTTCCGCCGTCTCCGCCTGGTCCGCCAGCTGTTCCGCCTTCTCCTGCCGCCTTTCCGGTGCTCTCTCCGCCAGTCGTTCCTCCAGCAGCTTCGCGCCGAGCCTCTGCTTCGGCCCAAACCTCTGGCTCGTGCCGAACCTCCGCTTCAAACACGGTGAGCTGCGCGAACCGGTTGTGAAACGCTTTCTTATGCTTCATCGGCTTGGTCACGAACGTTCCCTGCGCGAACGGCGCCGACGGGCTTCCCATGCACAGCCGGATCTTCGCGCCGCGGGCAGTTAACGGCCGATCCAACGGCGCAAGTTCATCCAACGGGGTACGATCATTCCGCTCGTCGCAATGCGGGCAGTCTCGCGAAGTTTCTTCAGACCGTTCGAGGGGTATATCAGCAGCGTGGTTGCAATCGGAGGGCAGATAAGTCGCGTTTGGTGGAAACGCGACCCATAACGCGAAGATCGCGGAAGCGGTAATTACGAGGACTGCATAGTGGACAAATGGGATCGCTTTCAGGAGTGCTGCGGCTTGGTGAGGTAATTGACGATTATGGCTCGGCGACTCTAGGCCTAGGTGAACCATGGTGACTCTCGCGGCAGCATGCGCGCAAAACGCTCAACCGTTCAATTCACAACATGGAATTACCTGATGTTGTGAAATTGCGTGCCGCGGAAGATGTGGTTGTGGTTGTGAAGCCAAGTGCAAAAACGAGTGGTTTGCTTCGCTTGCGTTGTGATAGCAGGTTCATCCACGGTTGAGAATTTTGCATCATTCCTTCACCGGACTAAAACCATGGTTATCTTCTCACAACTTACAGAAACGACTCCAACTCCGTTTGAAGCCAATCACGTGAAACACTTATTTCCGCCCTAAAAAAGCTCAACCAACCAATTCGTGGGCCTTGTTCGGGAGAACAAGAGGAAGAGGAGTACCAGATCCAGAGGATGAATAGTACTAGGCTCGGAAGCCCAAAAATCGCGTGCGACCCCCATGCGACCAATTTCGTGACCAAACCTCGAGGTTTGGAAACATCAACCTCTTCTTCTCCTCTGCAGCGGCTCGAGATTCCGAGCCGCTACCCCTACAGTCCATTGATTGCACAGTAATCACAGGCAAAAGTGTCCTCACTTTCTCCTCTCCATTCTCTGGCGAGGAGAAAGTGAGGATCAGAGGTCTTGAAAATTGTTGACCATCTGGGTTTCTACTTCATGTTTACCCAGGGCGGACATGTACGGACATGACCATTCGAGAAAGCCTTAACACATTCCCTTTGAGTTGTATTGTTTTGTGGTTCATTTTCGTGTTTCAAGGGTTGTTACGTTTTGGAAAATATGGTTTGGGATGGAGAGGAAATGGGAAGCTGAGAGAGCACCAGAGATGTAGCTGCGATTTGGCATCTTGACCCCGGGCGTGCGGTGGTTGTCGTTTTTGATCAAGTTGGGGCGTTGACTATGCACACCCCTGTCATTTTCTCCAGCTGGCGAATCTGATTGTCTAGCTGTCGACACTGTACAATTTTGCAGGTGGTGTGTTGTCATTTTTCTACAGAGGCTCGGTACACAAGATGCTCAACCCCTGCGCGCGAATGTGCCCTTCAAAAAATTGAAAGTCTGCACCCGTGTTTTTTTTACCAGCCAGTTGCACCCATATTACAAGCTCCTCGAACAAGTTGCAGTGACTATGAACCAATACGAACCACAGAAACCGAAGTCACACGGAAGAGACCGAAGTCAAAATGTCAACGAGGAGTTACAATTGTTTTATAAGCCCCTTTTTTCTAGGTGCGACGTTGACGAAATTTGCGAAACTCTCAGAACCACTTAATAGCCCTCTTCACAAGGCAACCTTGGGTTAGTCAAACGGGCATCGTGTGTACAGAGCAGCATCCTCATCCTCTGGTTGAGGGGCTCCCGAACAGGGCCGTGATAATCTCGAGGTGCGCAGCTTAGACTCCTCACCAGACTGCAGCCCTACAGACCGGATCTAAACCCCGTTAAAAAAAAACGGTTTTTGTAACGATAGAGACTGGCCCATTTTGAGCCACGTGTAGTACACCCTATTCTCGATAATTGCACACCCCCTACCCCCTATTTCGAAGGTACCCTGTACGTTTTCTGGCTCGATGTGACGGACACCCAAAGATTGACGAGGGTAGTTATCGAGCCTCGCACTTAATTTTCCGAGTGAGTAGTAGGTGTGGATGGCTGCCCTTGGAACTCTGGTTTCTTTTCTTCCATTCGCGAGCAGGTTGCGAGACTCCCTCCTCCGAAAGTCTACAATCGTTGCTTGCTACCCAACTTTAACGTTTAACCAAGAGTAATTACCCCAGGGTGTGCGCTTAAGGGCTGTGAAATTATCGAGAATAGGGTGTACAGTTGCGTGTGAAATGAGGCCTATCATCACCCCGTGAACGTCGAGATTGCGCCTTCTACCCAGAAACGAGATCAGCTCAACATTCCTTCCGAACTCGCGGTATCGGCTGTGAGAACAAAACCCAGCCTTGTTCATCTGAGATGTTCTCTATTGCCATAGTATTTTTCTGACTGGGGCCTCCAGGGTTTCGTGACACTAGGGTTCACACACTGGCGCGTCATGCTCCTCCACTTATGCTCAACACGTTCCTGTGTGCGAACACTCTGCATCGTATAACATGCTTACCAAACCGCATTGAAACCATCCCTAGCACTTTTTCAGGGCCTGAACAGATGAAGGACTTTCACACAGGAATAGGCCTTCGTGTCGACAAAAAGGGTCGCATGGAGAAAGCACACAAGTCGCCGCGTTTCCCAACCACACGCCAACCACAAGTAACTGCATTGTGAGATGCTTCCTAGAAATACTCAGCTTGCCCACAATTTTGGGTCAGTCCTCACCTCATACATGGACTGAAGCGCCAGATTCTGATGGCTCGTAAATAGCGTTTAGTCCGCCACATCCCGTATCATCCTTCCTCTTCGCAATCCTTACCCACATTCGCGGCCGTGCTGGTAAAAATAGCTCTGAAGTCGATTCCACGTTTTCGCGAATTCGGGTGTTCCGTGGTCATCTCAATCTCCATCATTACATTCATTCCGTCCACGGTTCGTTGACGCGACATGATCAGCTCGAATGCCTTTTCTGCTTTCAAGCTACGCTGGCTCCTAAGCTTCGCGTAGATTAAAACGCTAGTCTCTCGTATCTGTAGCTTGAGTTCTTTCTGTGTCAAAGAAAGTTATATCGTCAAACAGTGTACCAGAGAAAGGGGTAGCCTGCTAGTCTTCGGAATTTGCGTGGAAGCATGGGTCAGAGTGGATCGAGAGAGGAGCTGATACGTCACGCCGCGAAGCACGGCCACACGTCAGGCATCCGAGAGCTGGTTTCGCGTGGAATAAGCGTCAATGTGAGATTTATTTTTATTTGATTCACTTGTGTCGTCAAAAATAAATGCGAAGCACTCATGAAGATTTTACCTGCAACGTTCTGTTCGAGATTGTTATTTCATAAAGTCTCTGATGCTTGTTGACGCCAATGTGAGGCTTATTTGAAGCTTACATCCAGGTTTCCAGCTCTTTCTGGCGTGAGTTACACAGTAACCAGTTACATTTTCTTGTGGATGAGGTGTGGGTGATACATGAGGGGATAAAGTTTTGAGGGATAATATTTTCTGTGCCTCTCGGTTCCCTAGCCCCTCATTTCCCGGCGTCCCTCTTCGCCGCCATCTCCCCTCATTTCCCCCTCATTCCCTCTTGTCCCCCCTTATCCCCCCACCCAGTGAGTGGATTCGTACGCCGTTGATTCTCGCCAGCAGCCAGGCGGAGGGGTATGAAGCTGCGAAGCTGCTGCTCATATTCTTCGTGCCTCTCTCTCCCTCGTCCCCCTCGCCCCCTTTGTCTTCTCTATCCCTGCTCGTCCCCCAGCATTCCCCCACCCAGTGTGTGGACTCCAAGGGTCGCACGCCGTTGATTTGGCACGCTTGTTGATCGACTGTCCGTAACTCAAGTGTGCTACGCCTCTCTCCTCCCTCGTCCCCACCCATCACCCAGTGTGTGGACTCCAAGGGTCGCACGCCGTTGATTCTCACCAGCAGCCGGGCGGGGGGCTATGAAGCTGCGAAGCACAAATGCTTTGTGCTTCCCGTCCCCCCTCATCCCACCCAGTGCGTGGACTCCAAAGGTCGCACGCCCTTGATTGTCGCCAGCAGCCGCGCGGAGGGCTATGAGGCTGTGAAACTTCAGCTGCAGCAGATGGGCAAATCTCAATGATTTGTGCTTCTCTCCCGCCTCGTTCCCCCACACAGTGTGTGGACTCCAAGGGTTGCACGCCCTTGATTGTCGCCAGCAGCCGGGCAGAGGGATTTGAGGCTGTGAAGCTGCTGTTGCAGTTGGGCGCTCTTGTTCGCGCCTACTCCAAAGGTGGGCTTGCTGTTGCGAATCCTCGCGTTTACAACAGCAGAGTTTCTGACTAGTTTCAATCATCAAAGTGCATGCGTGGTTTCGTGAATCAATCCTCATGCGTGTGTACATTCTATGTGCCTATCAGCAGAGTTTCTGACCACTTTTAATCATCAAAGTGTGTGCGTGGTTTCGCGCCCCCATCTCAAATCCTCCTCTCCGATTTCCACCTCGTCTCCACCACACCATGGTACCACTTTCTTCCATGCCAGAGCACGGCCACCATCCATGATTTACATCTCTCCTCCCCCTACCCCTCTCTCGTCCCGTCCCTGCAGGTCCGGGAGGGGGCACAGCCATTCACTGTGCTGCTCGCAAGCAGCTCGACACTACAGCACAGCCATGCAATGCTGATGTCTCCCCTCCCCATTCCCCCTCAACCCATCCCCCTCTCCCCGTCCCTGCAGGTCCCGGAGGGGGCACGGCCATTCACTATGCCGCTCGCAAGCAGCTCGAAGCTACAGTGAAGCTGCTGCTGGACCATGGAGGTGAGCTGGTAACCATGCGGTAACCATGGGTTTGTAACCGTGATATCTTATGACTGATGCCACAGTGAAGCTGCTGCTGGACCATGGAGGTGAGGTGGTAACCATGCGGTAACCATGCAGTAACCATGTGGTAACCATGCGGTAACCATGCAGTAACCATGCGGTAACCATGCGGTAACCATGCAGTAACCATGTGGTAACCATGCGATAACCACGTGTTTGTGACCGCGATCCGGAATGCTTGATGCCGCAGCGAAGCTGTTGCTGGACCAAGGAGGTGAGCTTGTTCTCATTGCAATAACCACGTAACCGCAAAAAATATATGTGTAACTGTGTACAGTGGGTGGACGACCGTGGGGTAGTGCATTGCAGTAGTTGCTGGGGCATGCACACGTGGGTCCTGAGATGGGATGATTGCCGTTGAAATTCATCCCAGCTCACTCTGTTTTCCCCCATTCCTCTTCGTTCCCCCCCGCCTGTCCCTATTGCAGCGGACCCCCTTGCTCCCCAAGGCGCCTCAAATTCCTCGTTTTCCTTTCCCCCATTGTCCCTCGTTCCCCCCCCTGCCTGTCCTTATTCCAGCGGACCCCCTTGCTCCCTATACGAGTCCTGAGGCGCCTCAGAATTCTTGTTCCCGTCCGATTTTCCCTCGTTCCCCCTGCCTGTCCCTATTCCAGCGGACCCCCTTCTTCCGAACGACGAGGGAAGGAGCGCTCTAAACCTGGCGAGAGAGAAAAATGCCACTGCTGTCGTCCGACTCATAGAGGTGAAGTGGGGGTTGTTGAGGAGAAGAAGGGGAGGGGGGGTCGCTTTTGTGTGCGCGTGTGTGCTTGGGTGTGTGAGAGGGAGGAAGAGGCTGGGTTGGGAGGGAGGTGTGGACCTGGCGAGAGAGAAAAACGTCACTGCTGTCGTCTGACTCAAAGAGGTGAGATGGGGGTAGGGGAGGAGGAGGAGGTGGGAGGTAGCATGTGTCTGTATTTGAGAGCTGGAGTCTAAGAGTAAAGGTAGTCTCCATGAGCAGAGAGACGAAAATATAAATGGAGAAGTGGGATATCGATCCCCATACCTCTCGCATGCTAAGCGAGCGCTCTACCATTTGAGCTACATCCCCATGACGACAGCGGCCATGTGCTAGTAACTGTTTGTAGGAAGTGGGGGAGAAACAGTGGTGGGAGGGACGTGTGGAGGGAAGGGTTGCTTGCGCCAGCGATCCCTCTCAGCACCTGTGACCTGCTGACAGGGGCACTTGCGAGTTGCGCCAGCGGACCCTCTCAACACTTTCACACTCTGCTCCTGTTACTTCCTTCGTACCATACCTCCCTACCCTCTCCCTTTGCCCCTCCCTTCTTCCCTCCCTGCTCTTCCTTGGTTCTCTTGCCTTGCCCCATCACAGCCAACCAGCCTAATTTTTCAGACTATGAGCGCCAGCCAACCAGACTTGTTTCCTGGGCTATGTGCAGCAGCAGACCCTCTCATTGCCATTGACACTCTTCTCCCTCGCACCTATCTCCCTCTTTACTCTGCATCCTCGCACCCCACAATTTCCCCCTCTCTTTTTTCCACCCATCAGAGCCGAGCCGAGTGGCTTTGTCCGAAGGCTACGTGCGCTGCCAGCAGACTCTCTCAGTGCCGTTAAGACTCTCTTCCTCGCTGCCCCCCCTTTCGCCCTCTTCGCCCCCCTTCGCCCTCTTCCCCCCCCTTCACCCTCTTCCCCCTTCCTCCTCTCGTCTTGCCCCATCAGAGCCGGGTGGCGTTGTTCGAGGGCTATGTACGCCAGCAGACCCTTTCAGCGCCGTCGATAGTCAAAGCCTTTATCCCGCAATGGGTGTACCGGAGAATGTAAGTTGCGTCCAGTGCTGCTTTCGATGGGTGTTGGGATATTTTTTTAGTTTCCTTTGCCTTTGCATGGGTGCTTAGGGGGGTCGTACACAGAACTGCATTTCGTGTTTTGAGTCGACTCAAAACACGACTCGTTACACTCAAAACACGACTTTGAGTCGACTCAAAACACGACTCATTACACTCAAAACACGACTTTGAGTCGACTCAAAACACGACTCATTGATGGGTGCATAGGGGGGTCGTACACAGGACTGCATTTCCAGTGCTGCCCACGCCACTGTTTTTCCGCCCCCCTCTGCCTCTGGTATCACCTCACTCTCCACCCCTCCCCATACCTCTCCACCGCTCTCCGCCCATGCCTGTGCAGCTGGGTGGCAGTGCTTCCAGGGCCCACCATGAGTGACGGGCGCCAGACATTCCGCCTTGCTCTCTACCCGTCCATGGCTGTGAGTGCCCGCGTGTATGCATGCATGGGTGTGAGTGCATGGGTGTGAGTGCATGGGTGTGAGTGCATGGGTGTGAGTGCATGGGTGTGAGTGCATGGGTGTGAGTGCATGGGTTTGAGTGAGTGCATGCATGGGTGTGAGTGAGTGCATGCTTGCATGGCTGTGAGTGCATGCGTGCATGGCTGTGAGTGCATGGCAGTGAGTGCACGACCTGCTGCTTTTTGCGGACCCTGTTCCAACATAGCACTGCACGTGCGTTTAGTTCTGAAATAGAGCCCCGCTTTCCTCCACCAAACCCCCCCGACCCACTGCAGTTTGGCACGCCTTACTTCCACATAGCTCTGCACATGCCTTTGACGCGCCCCCTGTAGGGTCCCCCCCCTCCCCCCCGCCTTCCCCCTTCCAACCCCCCCCACAATCCACTGCAGATTGGCGCACCTTACTTCCATATAGCTCTGCACGTGCCTTGTTCCTTTTCGACATAGGCCCACCCTCTCCCCCTCTCCCTCTCTCCCTACTTCCCCCCACCCTTTCCTTCACGACCCACTGCAGTTTGGTGCGCCCTATTTCGACATAGCACTACACGTGTGTTTGCTCCTCAACAAGAGCCCCCCCTTTCGCCCCTCCAACCCCCCGACCCACTGCAGTTTGGCGCGCCCTATTTCGACATTGCTCTACACGTGTGCTGCATTCACATGACCAAGCTCGACTCGGCCAACCCTGTGGGTTCTTCAAAAAGAGCCTCCCCCCTGCCTTCTCTCCCTTCTCCACCCCCACCCAACCCTGACCTCCTGCAGTTTGGAGCGCCATGTTTCAACACATAGCACTGCACCTGCGTTTATTCTTTCGAAAGAGCCCCCCTTCCCCCTCCCCCTGCACTTCTCTCCCTTCCCTTCACGACCCACTGCAGTTTGGTGCGCCCTATTTCGACATAGCACTACACGTGTGTTTGCTCCTCAACATGAGCCCCCCCTTTCTCCCTCCCAACCCCCCAACCTCCTGCAGTTTGTAGCGCCCTATTTCGACATAGCACTGCAGGTGTGCCGCATTCACATGACCAAGCTGGACTCCCCTTCTCTCTCCCCCCCTCCCGCCTTTCTCTCTCTGCCTTCGCTTCCCGTCCTCCCCCATCACTACCTCCTGCAGTTTGGAGCGCCCTATTTCCACATAGCGCTGCACGTGTCTTTGAGGCACCTGGAAAAACACCCTTCTTCTCCCCCTCCCCTCACTCGCTCCCCCCCCCCCCCAAACCTCTTGAAGTTTGGCACGCCCTATTTCGACATATCTCTACACGTGTACCGCATTCACATGACCAAGCTCGACTCCGCCAACCCTGTACTCGTTATAGAGGACCCCGTTCATGGTATGACACCTGCTCTTCCCTTTCTACTTCTTTCAATTTACTCTATCCAACACCCTATGCGATTCTTCGTTCTCTCAGTATGGCTTATTTGTGATCTTGTTTATTTTTTCTCTGGGGAGACCTGGCGCTGAGTTCTCATCTTGCATTGCTGTGTTGCTAATGGGATATCTCTACTCCGTGTGTCTGATTTTTGAGACTTCTCATATCTCGGCATATCTCTGCTCTCTGTGTGATGTGATGTGTGCTGTATTGTTGCACTATATGCCTATGTCTCTCCATCCGTACACGTTGATGTGCATCCCATGTGCGCATTGGTGTGCCCATGTGCCTGCATGTGTCCGATCCCACATGTCCGCATGTGTGTGAATTATTCATTCATGCATGTCTGTGTGACTGCATGTCTGAATGCATGTGCGTGTGACTGCATGCCTGCATGCAGTGTGCATGAGTGCATGAGTGCATGTGTGCATGTGTGCATGTGTGCATGTGTGCATGAGTGCATGAGTGCATGAGTGCATGTGTGCATGTGTGCACGTGTGCATGAGTGCATGAGTGCATGAGTGCATGTGTGCATGTGTGCATGTGTGCATGTGTGCATGTGTGCATGAGTGCATGAGTGCATGTGTGCATGTGTGCATGTGTGCATGTGTGCATGTGTGCATGTGTGCATGTGTGCATGTGTGCATGTGTGCATGTGTGCATGAGTGCATGAGTGCATGTGTGCATGTGTGCATGTGTGCATGTGTGCATGTGTGCATGTGTGCATGAGTGCATGTATGCATGTCTGCATGCATCCCCCCATGGCAGCGGAGAAGGGCAAGTGGAAGTTTGTGAGCATGCATCCCCCCGACCCCTCCCATATGTGTGTGCATACCTCCATGCATCCCTGCATGCATCCCTGCATGCATCCCTCCATGCCCCCCATTGCAGCGGAGAAGGGCAAGTGGAAGTTTGTGAGCGACAAGGATTCACCCGACCCCTCCCAGATATTCCGCCTGCACGACGCGTGCCAGGGAACGGCACGGGTGACTCTTCTTTCCCCTCTCACTCTTCCCTCCTCTCTCACTCTTCCCTCAGCTCTCACTCTTCCCTCCTCTCTCACTCTTCCCTCATCTCTCACTCTTCCCTCCTCTCTCACTCTTCCCTCCTATCTCGCGCTTTCCTCATCTCTTATGCTTCCCGCACGATGCCTGTTGGGCAATGCCACTGTTGACTGCTCTCTCCCCTCTCAGACGGGAGATGTGCATGCATACATTCGTGCACAGGATTAGCACACGCAAAGCAATAACACATGCGCATGCACATGCAAATGCTAATTCCACCTCTCACACGCTTTCACCTCTCTCACGCTTCCACCTCTGAATCTATTTTTTTGTTTGTCGAGTAACGTCCAATCCTTGACTCGACTCGAATCTTATGTCTAAAAATCCTACAAATGATTGCCCTCGCATTAGCTCTAATAGCCTCCCATCTCCCAAACTCCCATCCTCACTCTCTCCCACCACGCACTCCCCTCTCTACCCTCTACAGGCTCGCACTCAGTCAGCCAATCAGCATCCGACACCTCAGCATGTGGCATCATCTCCCCACACCCCACAATCACATGCACCAGCATCCCAGCTCCCCGCAACTCGATCTCACACTGCCCCCTCCTCCACTCACCAACCACCCCCGTCTCAGACCCATCCCACCATGTACCCTTACCCTCCTGCCGCTCCTGCTGCTTCCCCTTTTGCTGCTCCTGCTGCTGCCCCTTATGCTGCTCCTGCTGCTGCTGCTTATGATGCGTATGCCGCTTCCTGGGATGCCTACTACACACAGCAGCAGGCACAGCAGCAGCAGCAGCAGCAGCAGCAGCAGCAGCAGCAGGGGGGTTGTTCAGGAGCAGCAGCGGGAGCAGGAGGGATGGCGCCAGGATCATCTGAATCCAGGGGCGTGGTGAACGTGCACGCGTGGCAGGATGACGTGGACGAGGACACGGCGTTCCAGCTGGCGCTCTCTGAGTCGATGCACACTGCCAGCATTGCCAGCTCTGTCCGAGCCGATGCCCCTGGTCCTTCGGGAACCGCTGCTGCTGCGGCTGCTCAGGGCATGAGCAGAGGGGAGGAAGGAGCAGACGGGTTTATTCTCACCCGTTCCTCCTCCGAGCCTCAGTCCAGATCCGGACGCTCTCTCTCCTCGTCTTCCTCTTCCGCTGCTGGTGTTGGTGCTGCAGCCACCGATGCATTCACTGCTTCGCATCGCTCCTCTAGGTCCGTCTCAGCCTCTGCTGATCGCCACCCGCTTGCCCCACCTGCTGCCTCTATCCCCTCTTCCTCTGCTGCCGCCAGCGCTTCTTCTGGCATTGCCGCTGGTCCTGCAGCTGGCTCTGCGGCCGGCTCAGCCGGTACAGCTGGCACTTCTGTTCCAGCAGGGGTGGAAGGGGATAGAATGCGCGACGAGATTGCGAATCAGTTCTCATCTGTGGCACCGGCGTTCAACCGAGCAGCAGCTGCCGTGCCATCGCTCTTTGCTTCCGGCCCACCGTCAGCACCCCCTGTGGATGGTCCTGCTTCCACAGCAGGGGCATCAGTGGGAGCAGGGAGTTTGCCAGGAGCAGCCGTGACAGGCCAGCCAGCTTCAGCAGCAGCTTCAGCACCACCAGCGGCACCAGCAGGAGCAGCTCCGGCTTTCCCAGCTAGAGCAGCAGTGGCTGCTGAGGCGATTGCAACAGCAGCAGGGGCTCTCACATCAGCAACAGCCGCTGCAGCAGCGACGGCATGGCAGCGGACCACTGGCCACCGGGCTTCGTTCTTCGACCCTCCTCTCATCCAGTTCTCCCCTCCCAGCAGCCCCGGGAGAAACCCACACACTCACATCCACCCTCAGGCTCAACCACCTATCACCCACCAGCACCCACCTGCTTCCATGAACCCTCAGGTGCAACCACCCAACTCCCATCCCCATACACCTTCCAACGTCCCATCTGTAGCTTACCCTGGTGCATCTCTTTCGTCAGTAGGCGGTGTGTCTGCTGGGCTTCCTTCACCAGGCGCAGCATCTGTAGCGGAGCTACATCCGAGCTACAACCCTGAGAGGGTGCGGGCAGAGCTCGCCAGGGCACAGAGCCGAGGGCACGGAGCAGCAGGAGGAAGGGCAGCAGGTACAGCGACAGGCGCAGGAGCAGGATCAGGAGCAGGAGCAGGAGAAGAGGCAGGGGTAGAGGCAGGGGCGGGAGCAGGAGTAGCAGCAACAGGAGGGGAACCAGCATCATCAGCAGCAGCAGGAGGGGCGTCTACTAGAGAGGGTCAGTGTGTGATTTGCTGGGATTCAGCAGCGCATGCAGTGTGTGTGCCGTGTGGGCACGTGGCGGGGTGTGTAGAGTGTCTCACTGAGGTTAGATCCAAGGGCTGGGGCTGCCCTGTGTGCCGAGCTCCTATTCGAGATGTGGTGAAGATCTTCCATGTTTAGGTTTTGTGCTTGCTTCGTGATGTTTGTGGTGAGGTCTCCGGTAACACACAATCTATTACGCATGGAAGAGGTGGTACATTGGTGTTATACTATTCCGGAGGTGCAGGTTATAGACGGGTATAACGCACTTGCGCGTTTTGCAGCGTGCCTCGTCAACCGCTATTCCATTACCATTTTTTTCTGAGAGGGCAAGTTTTGCTACCCGGGGAAGCTGCATGGCTATTGCTGCTGAGAAAATTGATGTCTATGTTATACTATAGGCTCTTTGGATAAAACCAATGCATTAACCGGTACATGTAACACACAACATAGCAAATAAAATTGCATTGTCACAAACAAACTAATAGCCTCAGATTATCTCTAGGTGTAACATGTGATTCCAAGATTTTGAGTGCCCGTTTATAGTTGGGTTATCCGCGTTTCACGTTCATGGCATGCTGTGGCACTTGCGCAATCTGCGGGCCTGCCGCGTCAACCGCTTTCTCAATCCCCATTTTTTTACCAGGGAAGCGGTCAACGAGCTTCAACGATAGCGCAGGTTCTGTGGAGCCCCTTGGCGTAACCAAGCAGCACAGCGGATCAGTCGGAAGCTCATTTGTGAGTCATTTTGGCGTCGCAGGTTGGGATGGTAACACGAAAGGGACATTGTTGAATCTCACTGTCCTGAAATGCGCCTACGAAACCTGAGCTAGAGGCGCAAGTCGCGGATTTGACCTGGCGGGAAATATATTATCCCGCCAAAACTAATCGCATCCTTTCACACCCCCAAGGCGAAAACGCTTTCGAGCTGCGTCCCCTCCCCACCACCACACCATTAGTATAAAAACATGCACCCGTCACTCGCATCAGCATCCTCCTCAGTACTCTCACTCGAGCTTGTCGCAATTCGAGCTCTTGCTGCTCGCACATTTTTACTGTTTTTGAGCTCGTCCCCGCCTAGCAAGTGCTCGGAAGCGGAGAAAAACGTTCCTGCACGATGGCCTGCAAAATGCGAGTCACGGCGGTGGCTCTTCTTCTGCTCGCGCTTTTAGCGGCGTCGGCGTTTGTAACGCCGGGTGAGTGTCCCACTTTGGTGCAAACTTTTCTGTCCTCTAATCACAGTCATTTCCTTTCGTTTTTCCTCCATTTTCTATAATGCCAAATTGTTTTTTTCAATTCCATTAATTAACTTGCGCCCTTATCGTGCATTCTATCCAAATCGACATTTACGATAAACGTGTGTTTTCCATCGGCGCAGGATCCGCGAGGTCCCTCGCTCCGCGCCGCAGTCTTGCTCTTAAACCCCAATCACTTCTGAAGGCAACAGCAATCAGACCAGTTTTGATAACTGTTGATTTGGGCGACGGCAATGAAGTTGATTTGGGCGGCAGAAGTGGCGGAGATTTGGGCGGCGGCAGTGGCGGAGATTTGGGCGGCGGCAGTGGCGGAGATTTGGGCGACGGCAGTGGCGGAGATTTGGGCGACGGCAGTGGCGGAGATTTGGGCGGCGGCAGTGGCGGAGACCTGGGCGGCGGCAGTGGCGGAGACCTGGGCGGCGGCAGTGGCGGAGACCTGGGCGGCGGCAGTGGCGGAGACCTGGGCGGCGGCAGTGGCGGAGACCTGGGCGGCGGCAGTGGCGGAGACCTGGGCGGCGGCGGCAATGACGGACAGCAGGGCGGACCCGGCGGAGAGCAGGGCGGACCCGGCGGCCAGCAGGGCGGACCCGGCGGCCAGCAGGGCGGACCCGGGGGCCAGCAGGGCGGACCCGGCGGACAGCAGGGCGGCCAGCAGGGCGGACAGGGCGGACCGCCGCAGGGAGGTCAGCAGGGCGGAGAGCAGGGCGGAGCTGGCGGACCGCCGCAGCAGGGCGGACAGCAGAGCGGATTTGGCGGCCAGCAGGGCGGCCAGCAGGGCGGACAGCAGGGCGGACAGCAGGGACCGCCGCAAGGCTTTACTGGCGGATAGCAGAGCGGACAGCAGGGCGGATCTGGCGGACCACCGCAGCAGGGCGGACAGCAGGGCGGACAGCAGGGCGGACAGCAGAGCGGATTTGGCGGACAGCAGGGCGGACAGCAGGGCGGACAGCAGGGCGGACAGCAGGGACCGCCGCAAGGCTTTACTGGCGGACAGCAGAGCGGACAGCAGGGCGGATCTGGCGGACCGCCGCAGCAGGGCGGACAGCAAGGCGGACGGGGCGGACCCCCGCAGCAAAGCGGACAGCAGGGCGGACAGCAGGGCGGACCGCCGCAGCAGGGCGGACAGCAGGGCGGACAGCAGGGCGGACAGGGCGGACCGCCTCAGGGCGGACCGCCTCAGGGCGGAGAGCAAGGCGGATCCGGTGGACAGCAGGGCGGACAGCAGGGGGGAGCTGGCGGGGATCAGGGGGGTGCTGGCGGGGATCAGGGTGGAGCAGGCAGTTCAAGCGTCGCCACTACTCAGAGTGTGAAAGGCAGTGCGATCAATACAACAGGTGCCAAGGGTGGAAAGGGAGGGAAGGGCGGCAAGGGCGGAAAGGGAGGAAAGGGTGGCAAGGGTGGCAAGGGAGGAAAGAAGTGAAAGAGCTATTAGGAGGACCCTTTCGGTTTCTGTAAAATGC